TCTCCGTAACCTCAATCTTTTGACAATAAAACTTGACTAGACCTGAACCATTGTCTCAAAACGTTATTTTTAAAGACAAATTTATAAGTTTGTTTAGTGGTTCTCTAACATAGATAAGATTAAGTGAAGCAAGATATCATAGGAACATTTCCAACAGATTTCTCAAAATTTTTTTAAAATAAAAAATCAAAAGTCAAAAACTTTTAAAAAAAATACATTCATTTCCAACAGATTTCTAATTTTGGAGAATCCAACATTAATTATAATATTAAAATATTTTATTCATCTATTAAAATATTATTTTCTTTCTATAAATTTGTTTTATCAAAGTTTACTATATGTGGTCTCATTTGTTAATTATTTTTTGGGAATTCTCTATATTCGGAGAAAAAACCTTTTTTCTCTCTCATACTTTTTTTGTTTTGAAGATAGTTTTAGTGAAATTATTGGATAAAAATATTGGCTCGAAATCTTTATTTTCTTTATTTTGGATAAGTTGTTGAAAAAGCTCTAAATATGTAAAAATTTATCCAATTCAGTTACAACTAAATGAATTGGATCAATATTCTATACATGTAAATTGGATCTGCTGGTTTTTGGATGAATATCAGAATTTTATAAAGTTAAACCTATTCAATCCAACTGTCATCTAGTTTATACATATATAGTAACACCGCAAACCGAAATCAGCAAAACTGACCCAATAACTTCTTGTTCAACCTAAAATCATAGTGAAAATTGTTGGCAACTTATAACTCTAAACTTAAGCTGAGTCACGAATCTACTTTTCTGTTCATGTGACGGATTTTTACACATATTATCAATAATACTTTTTAAATACTATAAATTTTCAATATTATTGAAAATACTTAAAAATAGAAAATAACAAAACATTAAAAATCAAACGTTCAAAACGCAAATTCAAAATTATCAACTAGATAAGCTAGTTAATTAAGGGATTAGTTTGGTTGATTTTTCATTAAGTCATGTATGAATAAAATTGTTTATGTGGATTAATCAGTTGACATACATTTTAATTAGGATGGACATGTTTAGAAAACTTGTTTTTTTACATAAAACTCTCCCTAGAAGTTTACTAGATAAGTCACTTTTTATATACCATTAAGTCACTACTATACAATCATGTATAGTTGACTGAATAAGTTATGAGTCCATTAAACACATTAAGTTATCAACAAATAGACCCCAAATTAAATAAGTTGACAAAATCCAACTTCGAATACTCTAAAAGGTGTATGAACACAAGAAAATGAGACAATAAAAGAAGCACATATTCTGCCAACCATACTTGCCTAAAGTGTCCCAAGAAACCTATCTTTCAAGTATTCTCTCTTCTCTTAATTAATCAATATCGAATTTGTGCTTATCCAAGTTCATACATTCAATCAAGATTCCGATTTCATTTTAAATAAAATCATCAATTTTATAAAAAGTTTAGGGGCTGTTTGGCAATTGCTGAATCATTTGGTGCAGAATGATTAAGTGGTCAGCATGATTTAAAAAGCTCTCATGATATAGTGCAAAAATGAAATATAATTGTTTGGTAATTGTGTACAATGAAATTAGGGCTCTTAATGGTTAAGAGAGATCCATGATACAAAATCATTCAGAGGGTTTTAAAACCATTAAGAGATAGATTTTTTTTGCCAAACAAGATTCATCTCTTAAGGTTCAGAGGTTGTCTCTTAATGAAACTATTAAGAGGTAAACAAAAAACCCCTTACAATTTTTAACAAAAAATACCGACCTTATTTTTTATTTATATTTTTAAAAATTTGTTAAAGATCGGTTATTCTTTTAAATAAAATACGATTGATCAAAAGTTCAATGGCTATTGCATTCTACTTCATTAATATTTTGTGCTTATATAACATTATGCATAATCTTCGATAAATACGTGGAAGCTCTGTATTGTTGTAACAAAAGAACTGAAAAAGGTGAGGGAAATAACATTGCTTTGATTTTACTGGCCTTCCCCTTGAAAAATTATTTGCTACTGTAAAAATTATATAAATCAGTATTAAAGAATAAAAAGGACGAGTTTTAATTTAGTAAGACGGCTTATCAAGTTGTTGCCTTTTTATAGTCATATTTTCAAGGGGGTTTTCTTCCATTTCTTAATTAAGACTTAAAAAGTTTCTTAGATTGCGACCATTAATGATCATCAATATTTAATAATTGACACAAAACAACATGCTATGAGCAGTGGAAGACTTTAAAAACTAAAAGTCTGAAGTGCTTAAGCAATTACAACTTAATATTAAAGATACGTTAACTTCGACCAAAAAAAGGTATACGAGTTCCTTCTACTTGTTGATACCTGATGCTAAGTTTCATGGTGTTTAACTAAAAGTTAACTGAGCATTTCTTAATTCAATCATGCATCACTTAAACTAAATTGAAACCAGTGTATACAAACGTTGAGGAACTTGCACACATTCATAAAAAACTGAATTGATATGTATAACGATCACAAAGTAATTTATGTTTAACGTGTTATTGTAAAATCGGTTGTTTTTCTGATCTGTAGCATGCATGAATGAGATGTTACATACAGATTGGATTAGTCAACGTGACTTGCATACACATAAAGCATGAATAGCATCCATCTGACATTTTTTTTAAGTACATGGTCAACTCCAACATCTTACCTTCACCTCAAACATCTTATATTAATTTCAATATATATATTTCTACAGAAAACATAGTGAATTATCTTAATGTTTTAGTGAAACAATTGTCATAGATTAACAAACAAGATTCCAAATGTTGGTCGTTTTTGCAAACACCAATTATTTTATTAATTATAATTTTGTTAAGTTGCAAAAGCCGGCAAAATATGTCATCCGTGTCATTCCTTGGATGTTGGAGATTAATTCAAGTATAAAATTCGAAAAACAAATGCGTCTTATTTATTTTGTGGAAGTTTTGTATTAGGGTGACGTAATTTATTTTGTTGGTTGATGATAACAGTAATTTGAATGATTTAAAAGAATATATATGAATCATAAGAGTGATGTCTGATTGATTTCAGCTTGAGCTTTCATGTTCAAATTTAAGGAGGAATAAAAATCTTCTTATGGCCACAAAAGTTCAAATGCGGTGACTCCATAATACCCGCAAAGTAGATGATTGTTCTGGAATTAGTCGGCTCGCATAGCGAGTTACATATCCAGGTTAACTAAAAAAAGATTATGTTATGTTTCGATGAGTTAAAATGAAGATATGAATTTCTTTCTAACACATCCCATGATAAAACTTAATACTTTTATACTTTAAATATATTGATTTAGGGTTGGGTTCTCGTGAGACCAAGGGATTTTCGTAAGACCCGTAAGACCAATTTATGTTTATTGATCAACTTTATAAGTTAATGATCTAATGGTCTAAAGTTGCACGGTGGCAATTTTGTAATTATTGAGAAGTCTCGTGGCAATTTTCTGATTATAAATGTTCAGATTGTAGATCTAATCCAATGGTTGAGAATTGGTCTTACGGGTCTAATGAAAAAACTTTGGTCTTACATGATTCCAAGTCTATTAATTTATACTACCATATTTAATATTTATTTTGTGTGAATTGGGTGCAAAAAGGAGAAAGGGGAGATGTCTTCAAAAGATTTCATAGGAATAAAAAGGTGCAAAGTAAAGATGAAACCATCTTAATCACCAAATACCATCAATCCCCAATCTTTTTGAATGGTACATGACATAGGATTCATGGTTTCACATTGGGTAATGATATAAATATTTTTTTTTAATGTTAGAATCAGATTAAATTATATATTATAAATGTAAAATATAAGTATTATTGTTAATATATTTGAGAAGGCATTAATACATAATGGTGCATTTACTGATATAGTGATATGTGGGGGTGTATTTAACTTGGCCCTGTCACGTATTGATATGTTGTTGACATATGTGCATGTAATTTATATTCAATTCACATTAAATTAAAATGTATAAAATGAGTTTTAATGTTAACATATGAAATAACAAATTCAAGTATCTTCAACGGAGGTTCTTTAAGAACCTTCTTTTTACACTTTTTTACTACCTCATCTTCAACTCATTAAATTAAGAACTTTCCTAAAAGCATCTCCAACGACTTTAATGAATTAGAGGAAATTATAAATTTTCTTCTCTAGAATACCCCAACAGTTTTTCTATCTTATTCTCTAAAATAATCATAGAATAAACTCTCGATATAAATAAATTTGTAAAACTCTAAAAAAAATGAGTTTTTTGTATTATTTTGTATAGATTTTTTTAAAGGTATTGGATCATAAAATTATAGGATATTTAAATAACATAATCAAAGATGAAGTCTTTAAAATAAAGCATCTATTGGAGCGAATGTAATTTATTTTGGAGATTTTGACTTTTGGTTATCTATTTTTAACAATACTATATGTTCTCTAAAAAATCTCTAAAAAAATTGCATCTAACTCCAACAAATACTGTATTTTAACAATTATAATATTAACTATATTATTAAAATACTAAATACATTTAATTAAAATATCATCTCTTCTAAACATTTATTTTATTACTTGTTATTGGTGGAAAAATATAAAATGATAATTTATCTCTCTGTTTAGAAAAATTCTTTAAATTTAGAGATCTTTACAATATCTCTCATTTTTCATTTATTTTAACATAGAAGATAGCATAATTATTGAAATAAAAAAGTTATTAAAATCCTTCTTTCCTCTGTTTTAATATAGTTGTGTTGGAAATACTCTAAGAACCTCGTTTTTTGTTGGCCTTATTTTTTTTTTTAACATTAGTAATTATTATAAAGTAAAAAAAAAACAAAAACAGAGAAAATACCACTTCATAAAAACTTCATGGTAAAAAATTGAACGATTTTCTTATAAAAACTCTCCACAATAACCACTTAAATTTTTACTAATAATAACCTTGTATCGAAAATGTTTTAATAAATAAATATATAACAAGTAATAGACATGCATGTAACCCTAGACAATAGAATAATATTGGGTGGTATTATAAAAAGAAGTTAATGTACAAACTGCTACAACTGTTACTATGTATATATGGGAGTCACAAATGGGTATAATTGTAATTCCATATTCATCTACCTAAATAATTGCTCCCAACCCCCCTTCTATATATTGCAATTGCCACTGCCACTGCCATGCCAACAAGAAAACAGCTCAATTCTGTGGTCCCCTTCTATATACCTATTCTACCCATTTGTAACACCAACCCATCACAACCATTTAACACCAACCCAATCTTCCCTTTTCTTGTTCTATTTACACAACACAAATAACCAAGGTATATATGCCCAAATATCTGTATCTAATTTGGTGGATTTAAGAATATGATTTTATGAGCCCCAAGTTGTAAAGGTTCCTTCTTACTAAGCTTCCAAGTGACAATAAAACTGCCCCACCAATTCCACCTGTTTGTTGTTCCTCTTTCTCACCTTTTTCGTGATTCCTACATGGTAGTTCCTTTACTCGAAGGTAATCTGACCCGATTCTTTCTCTGACCGACTCGATGATCTTCGAATCTACACAGTATCCAAGGGCATCCGTGACGTAGAAAATGTTTTCGGTTGTACCCTTTCTTGTAGTGATCTCGGCCCGTGTCACGTTTAACGCGTTTTCTCTAAAGGTTCGTGTCACTTCCGCTAATAGTCCTGGTTTATCTGCTTTGCATAGCTCAAGCCTTACACCCTGAATTTATTTAACTAATACGATATTAATTAACGACAACTTGAAACTCCATTTAATTGAAGAATAAAGGAACTTAAAACACATACCTCGGATGCTCGTCTCTCGATAGCAGCTCTCAAGCAAAGAGTCACACGATGCTTTTCGGCTTCTGAACTAATTGGGCTTCCATCTGCGTGTCTAATAAAGAATTCCTGAATCATGGAAGGGGGAAAAACCCATCATTAGCAAAATTAACTAAAACCCGTTACAAAATAGTAAGGTTTTTTTGCCAAAATGGTGTGAATTCGAACCAGATAAGCTCCATCTTCTGTGGTGTTGATGGTGGCATGGAAGATGACGTACTGCATATCCGTCAAATTGCAAACGACATCAAACAAAAGCTTGGGTCGATCCTTGCATTGAACGTTTAGAACCGAATACCCTTTCTCCAAGCAATTCTGAACAGATACAGTTGGAGAATATTTGCCACTAGTTTTTATGATTGGACTTCTCTCGTAATCACGGTCTGCAAACATCATCTGGTGAAGTCGTCTCTCAGTGTGTGTGATAGCCATCGAAACCGAAGTTTTCGCACTTCTGATATCATTATCACCTTTAAGCACGTTCCTTAGACGAGATTCTATGCTTTCCATTTTCTGAGAATCCCCGATTGGGCATCCCGAATCACAATCTTTTAAGTAAATGAGAGATGCGATTCGGCCATTGTGTGTCCATACTTTTGACTCAACCACATCACACTTGAGGTCAGAGAGAACCGCAAAAACCTCAGATAAAAGACCAACTCTGTCGGTACCAGTTAGTTCGATTGCTGTGATTCCATCGATAGATTTGAATCTTGTGCTGTGTACCGTTCCAAGTGACTGCAAACGCTATAAAGAAACTTCAAATTAGTCGACGTTGGTTCATTAAAAGATTGATGACATGAAAAACAGAGCAAACCCATTTAGGCATCTATCTTTTCAAATTCTTGGAAAACCCCCTCTTCCGTTTTCCCACAAATTGAAACAAATAGAGTAAAAAAGATGTTCAAAAAACGATTAAACGAATTTAAAGGGTAAAGCAAATTACATGTTCAATGCAATCGATGATCCCGTGCTCCAATTTGTTGCCATCCAAATTAGTAACATGAAATACTGTAGATAATCATTAAAAAAAGGTGCAAAAGAACAATAAATACACAAAATATTTGAAGATCAATTCGAAACGAAAAATCAATAAGAAAAGAAGTAAAGCTTACCATCCATGTTCCATCTTCCATCAGAAGAAACATAACCCTTTTTAATTAAAAGATTCAGATCTGTAAGAACTTGAACTGCCTCTAGAAGAATTCCATCTTTCCTCGCACTATCAATCTAAAAAATTATTGGAAAAAATTAGTTTAATTATGAATTAAAAATTAATTTAACAAGGAAACCGGTCAACTACTAGAATAGTAAAGAAAACAAGTGGTTTTCCTTTTCAAACTCTCACCATGACGAGGGTTGCGTTTACACAAACAGCATTGTCGATCCTGACCCTGCGGTGTACATCAAAAAAGTTGATTAAGACTTGTGAAGCCAAAAGTATAGCGTGAAAGAAAATTCAAATTTTGAACTCCAAATTATCGACAGGAAAACGATAGAGTCGTTGAAAAGTCACATAACAGTGCTGTGGAAAAACCTAGCACCAATTTATCTATTACAAACTTGGAACTTGGAAGGCCTAGAAAATTCACAAACCAAATTTTATATTATTATTAATCAATCTGATAACAGAATTAATTCCTATGGCTTCGAATTTTCAACCGAATCAGTAAGACTATTTTCCTTCAAACTGTGTTTGTTTGTGGCACCAAACTAGTAATAATTTAGAAAATAAACCGATAATTTTTGGTGAGAGAAGCACCGGAATAGGTAATCAAGTAAGATATCTGTCGTAGAAATTGAAACCACTCCTAGCTGTTTAATTAGGTTAAGTTTGATAGACATGTGATTAATAACAGATTATACCTAAAAATTAGGGAAGAAACAGAGACGATACTGACCTTGGAGTATTCATTCGAACGAGAAGCTTCTCAAACTCATCCAAACAAGGTCTCCGATCCATCTGCATCATTTCTTCTTCCTCCCACGATTTCAAATATATGTTGATTTCAAATAGATGTTGATTTCAAACAGCTCTTGTTTGAACCACGACTTCAACAACGGAAACTGCAGATTACAGCTAACAGTGCACCGAAAATCGAAGAAATTGTTGAGTGTTTATCGACTAAATCGCCATGAAAGATATCACTGTTACTTTCTCTCTCTAAAGCGTTTGGGGTTGGGGGTCCAATTTATATCAAAAGTTTTGATTTGGTTTTAAATACTAAAATACGTTGGTGTTATGAAAGCATGGAAGGAAAGAGGCACATGCCGGTACACATGCTGCCCGGATCCGATCCGATTGCCCGTTTTTTCCTAATATCTTTCTATGCAAGTCAACTTTCCACGTCTCACTTCCTTGCCTTCTATGAAAAGCGTGGGAATGGCCCCCTTTCTTATTTTCTAAAAATTCAAAATATAATATAATCTATTTAAGTTTTATTTTTATAACCTGTTAATGTTTTTTTGAAATAAAAATATCATGTAAAAATTAATAATGCAATGCAAAATATTTTAATTCTTATTGTTTTGTCTAAATCAGGGGCGGACCTAGTGTGTCGCCATGGGTGGCACGTGCCACCGTATTATTTCGCCTCCGAAGGGTAAAATTTTTAGGTTTGTTAACGGTGCTACCGTATCGTTTCGGAAGGTGCTACAGTATTTTTTATAAAATTCTAAGAGTGGTGCTACCGTATCATCATGAAGGTGGTGAGAAGAAGCAAGAAAACGCCGGAAAACCAGAGGATGCGGCGGCGGTGATGGAGATGAGGAAGAGAACCCCAATGCTTTAAATATTAATTATAAAAAAATAATAGGTTTCATATGAATTAAACTATATTTAAATCTGGTTATTTTAATTTTAAATAATAATAAAAAAATTATAAGATATTTGGTTGTGTTTTTTTTAACCAACCTGAATATCCAATCCGTTATGTGAGCCAACTAATCTTAGGGCGACCACTTACTTTTGTAGATAACCCGGAGTCACCGTATTTAAATCTCCGTGGCTACAAGGGGATTTTTATTTATCATTGGATTTGAACCTGAGATTAACAAAAATAACCATTATCAGTGATTCAATTTACCTCTTAACAAAAATGTGTACTTTCTAATTAAGCCATGGAAAATGGTACACATTTATACCTTTTATAGTATTTTATATTTTTTTAACTGGTTTTTGAGTTAATTATACTTTTAAAGTAAATATGATTTAGGAGTCGTTTACTAAATACTTACCCGATAGTGCTTACCGGGTAAGATTTTAGTCCACCAAAACGACATTGTATGCAACAATTTACCCGGTAAGCACTAATCGTTGTAAGAATCGTTGCCAAAAGATGAAGACACGCTGAGGACAAATTTAGGAGTTGTTTCTCAACATACTTTTTGTAATTATTTTTGGGTATATATTGACCGTTTTCAAAAGATGAAGACGAGTCGGGTAAAAGTTTAGGAGTTGTTTATCGGTACAATAAAAACCATATTTTTTGTAATTATTTTTAGATATATATTATATTATATTAATTATATGGTGCCACCGTATGAAAAAATTTCTGGGTCCGTCTCTGGTCTAAATGATGTATATATTTATGGATAAATTGCATTAAAATATAATATACTTTGTTCTAATTCCTATTTTGAGAAACTTATGGGGTGTTTGGTTCACAAAATGGAATTTGATTCAGAGGAAGAAAAGAGACGCAATACATGGCCAAACGACTCACAAGTTCGTCATCTATCTTCTGTTGTTTAAGATTTAGAATTGCTTTATGTTCTTTTAAGGTCGGAAATGCTTCCTTGTCTTTCAGCGACCAACGGATCCAATGTTACCATAAGATGCCCATGATGGACTCTTCTAACCACCTTCTGTTGTCGATTCTCCAATCTAAGATAACATCAATCTTGAAAAACCCAGATCAGAATCGTAAATTTAGGGTTTTCATCTTCTTTTTCTATTTTTTTTTTATATCAGGGCATTGAGAAAACCATTGTCTGATCAAACTTTTAATTACAGGATATTAGCGTTCTTACACAAACTTTTGATTTTAGGATTTTTATCTGTGGTTTTGTATTTCTTTTGTACGATACAATAAAATTATTTGATTTATAGCCGATTGTCCTTTTTCTATATGAACCATAAATTGCTAGGTTGTGAATGTAGTTGGTTGTTGATGCTCATTCTTTATTTATGGCATATGAATCATTTTCTTTTGATTTTTCATTGTTATATTTGTTCTAAGATTTTATGGAATGATTGTTTTAGGTAAAAGATATTATTCGTGTTCATGTTTAGGTTGAAGGATATGTTCTTAATGTTCTTTGATATATAAAGCAGTTGTATAATTTTATGGTTTTTAAAGAAAATAATGTTTACTTGTAATTATATCACTAGATTAACAATTTTATCAATATTATTTTTATTCAATGATAATACCATTATTTGAATAATTGATCATAATCCCAACAAATAAGCAACTATTAAATTGTTACTACTCATTAATTAATACAAAATGTAACTTACGTGTGTGTATAATTTACCTTTATGTTTTGTATTTCATAGCCAACATCTTACTGAAACCTACCACAGACAATTAATTTTACTGGTCTACTAGGCTAACATAGTTAACACTAAAAGTGGAGTTAACAATTTTAAAACATTAGTTTAGCCTTGAATCATGAGCTGATGCTTATTTTACAAGTCAACTAATATATAAAGTTGAAGGTTAATATGGTGTATTAGCAAAATCGATTGGGAAAATAATTCCACACGTTGAGTTTCTAAACCCAAATAAAGTTGAAAGGTTGTGGTGTGATACATGCAGGATCTTAAACATTTTATGATATTATTGCTTCAAATTTCAGTTTGCTTCAAGAAAAGGGAGAACTTTGAATTTGAATTTGAATTCTAAATAGGAAATAAACAAAGTGTCAAACAAATTTGCTAAAACCAAACATATTTTTTTTCATGTAAATATCCCTTACTTAAATATGAAACTTTGACCAAACAAATGATATGTTTTAATCAAATAATGCATCATAGCTTGTACTTAAAAGATTTTTGATTTTCTTGTATAAATTGATAATTCTTTATGCTTTAAGACTTTTGATGTAAATGTTTATTAATGTAGTGTGTGTGTGTATATATATATATATATATATATATATTGAGGCCTAATCAAATGAGAACTAATTAGTTTGTGGTAACTGTGAGAACCAATATTAACCACAAATCAATAGATAAATTAGGAAATTTATAATTTTGGTAATTTTGAATTAAAATATTAATGCAAGGATATTTTTGGTATTTTAAAATTTTCCTCCCTCCTCTCTTCTCTCTCCGGCCACCGTCTGCCGGCCACCGTCCTCCGGTGATACTACAATGGTATCACAATGCATCATATATGTGTTTGGGTATCACATTGATGTCGTTTGTGTGGTCGATCGAAGATGTAACACAGTGGTATCACTATGCATCTTATATATGATTAGGTATCACAATTTATCTTTTGTTTAACAGAGTCAATATTTTTAGGTATCACAGTGGTATCACCGGAGGACGGTGGCCGGAGGCCGTAGAACGATTGCCGGAGAGAGAAGAGAGGAGAGAAGAGAGTTTTAAAATACCAAAAATATCCTTGCATTAAGATTTTAATTTAAAATTACCAAATTTATAAATTTTCTAATTTATCTATTGATTTATGGTTAATATTGGTTCTCACAGTTACCACAAACAACTCAGTTCTCCCTTGAATAGGCCCGTATATATATTTGCTACATTATTTAACCTATTATTATATACTTATAGATTATTAGTACGTTTAAACTTTATAAAATTAAATGATAACCAATAGACATATATGTTCAAAGATAAGATAAACACTGTAATATTAATGCAGTCAAAATATTCTATAAAATTGATGATCAACGGTAATTTATCTTATACTTTCAAAACCATATAAATTCATAAAATAAAATATAAAAATATATTACATTACATTATACAGGTACACTTCTTATTTAGATAAAAAGTAAATAACTGACAACTCTAACCATCCTACATAAAACTCGTTTTCAAAAAGATCAATATAACCGAAATTTTTTGGGTTCACTTGATTGTTAGAAGACCATGGTCAAACTCAAGACCTATTTTCATATTTAGTCACTTTATCAATAAAATTCGCTAATAATTTACTAAACCGAGACGGCGTCGTTTACAAGTGGGTGTGATTTCTAAAGCAATTATAAGTATTTGTATTTTGTTAGCATCACTAATTACAATGAGGAGGAATTGCCGACCGAAATAATGACGGCAAGACGGCCCACACCGCCACAATGTCTAACATTTACGCCGATTTTTATTTTGTATTCATGCTCACGAACAACACTCACATGCCCTTTGCATTAGCTTTTATGTCTCTTTCATTTTTATTTTTATTTTTATTTTTTTATTTTTATTTCACATAGTAATTTTACATAAATAACATTAATTGAATTTCTTTTTATGGTATATGTTTTAAGATGAAAAAGAACTTCCGCATCTAAAAGACTGCAAATTTGAGCAATAACAATTTTGATGAAATTCAATATCAATCTTTCGGTTAGACATCTTTAAGATACTTCTATGAATCTTGAAATTCTTGAATTCTTTCTCCAGATGTTGTTGGGATCTAAGTCTTCTTTCATTTGGTTTTCTTTTTGTTTGCTCCATCTTGATTTACGGGGTAGTTGATGTTTGTTTGTTGGCTTTGTTTTCTTTTGGATTAGTGGTTTTCCTGCATCTTGCAGAGCTCCTTCCTCTAATCCAATGGTTTTTAAAAAAAAATCAAATTAAGGGACCATTTATCAATCTCTTACCGGGTGTCACTTAGTTTGTCGGTGAGCTTGACAAAAATTAAACTTTTAACCTGATACATGAAGAGAAATCTTTTACCTGGTAAGCGTTTACCGGATAAAAGACGCTTACCGCAATCAATTTTGATGCTCGAGAAAAATACCTGATAACGTAAGTGAGTAATGACTCTTGTTGATAAGTACTTATTATCAAAAGAAAAAAAAAATGTTAATACATGCAAATTATATTTTGTACCACAAAAAGAAAAGGAGAGATCCATTGAAATTATTCCTATTTCTATTCTCTTGCATAAGAATTTCCCGATTAAAAATAATATTTTATATCTCTTAAGTTTTCACGTTTTTGCCAAATTTTAGAATTTGGAATATAAATAGTGGTATCAAGCATTGAGGTTTATAGAATCATAAATAGCATTAGCATAAAATCTGAACATTATCACTCAAAGGAATTTAATCATGCTCAAAGCATATTAA